TCTAACCATATCCAAAACATCAAAATTAAATTATTTAAAAAAAAAAACCTCATAATTATTTTGGTCTTACAATGACCCTTAATGGATATGAAAATTCGTTCACTATATATATATATATATATATATATATATATATATTATATCGAATCTCTCGACCTTTATCCAAAATATGAGTATATTTTATTATCCCAGTAATCCAAGTTTCATGAAAATTCATATATAGTAACAAAGAGCAAGTTAGCAAGATTGCAAGGTACGTACAGGATATATAGTAAAAACTTTTTAATTTATATGTTTCTTTTTTAAATAAGAAAAGATCTTTATTAATAGAACTATAATATAGAAAACCTAAAAACATAAACAAATCCAAAACCAAAACCAAAAGTTTACAAAACAAAATGATGCTTGGATGAAACATCAAAGCAATCACAGTGAGAAAAAATATCTAAAAGAATTTCTCGTTTTAAGACCCTTTCCTACTTTTCTCAAGGACCTGAACTGACAATTTCCGCTTCTTTAATGCACTCTTTTTTTTTTCTTTTATGTCAATTGAGAGATTTAAAATCGTGAGATATTCTACGTTGAATTCACTTATTAAGCCTATATATGGCCAATTTAAATCCATGCTCGTAACTGTACTTTGAAAATTGAATATATTACCACAACATTTAAGACACGTGTTGTACTATGTTTGTGTTGAAGCATCAATATAGAGTGGTTGGGGAACTAAATCGGGTCTCACCTATTTATATTTAACGAGACTCACTTTATATGAGTGGTAGGGTTTTAACCCCATCGAAATGATTAGGGCTGCTCAATTAATTAACTTAATATATTTATTTGGTAGCTGTTGAAGCTAGATTCAATGATTGTAGCCACAAAACTTTTTACAAGACGAAATTTCAAAGACACAGGAAAGTTAAAATGAAATTTCAGATAGACTGGCACCGTCTCATTCTGAAATTTCATACAGACTGGATTTATACTTTAAACTTAAAACTATTTTTAAGCTGATCTATTATTATTTTTAAAAATTTTCTTGTAAAAATTTGGGTTGGTTCTGATGCTGGCCCTGTCCTTATCAGGTTTTAGAAACGGAATAGGCTAACTTTTTTCTTTTAAGAGTCGGTCAGTTCGAACTCAGATGTCTAAATTTTAAACTGTATTTAAAAGTGGTGAAAATCCTAATTGGGACAATAGTTGTGACGTTGCAATAGTTTTCAATTTTGCATTAATTTTGGAATTGTACCATACTTGAATATTAAAATAATACACCAATCATCTCAGCTTTTTGAGTGTTGAGAAAATGAGACGATTAAGACCTTTGTAATAAACGAACAACACATGGTTATGGTTCTAGTTTTCTCGCGGAACACGTATATGTTTTCTTTTTTTTTTTCTTTTGGGTGGATTTTCTTTTCAGTTCGGTTATGATATTAAATAGAACATCGGCACACCACAAATTGAAAACCAAACCCTCATAAATAATATTTTGGTACAAATCACGGCACATGCAATTGCACTTTCAAAAAAAAAAAAAAAAAAAAATTACTTCTGTTTTTTTTGCTTGAAAAGTGTTATTTCATAGAGATATCGTCATCACAAAAGGCCAACCTCCAGGAAGCAAACTGATGGACGAGAGGGGGGGAAAAAAGACTACTTACATGTGACTTGCATTTGATTGAAAAAATGTCGTGTAGTCTAACATTTCTCTATCAAACGTTAATTTGTGGCAACTGTGAAAATTACATTTCTCAAATTATATTTAATAAGCAAATTTGTACTCTTTGTCGGTTAATACTCGATTTTAACCTATAAAATCACCAAATTAACCTTAGTGGTAATGACTTTTGATTTTTGATTGTTACAAATGTACCATTAGATCACTCCACTAAAGTTAGTTTGGTAATTTAAAATGTCATAGTCAAATGTTGACACGAATTTGCCTTATAAATGTAATCTTTAGGTATACATTTCCAAACTTAAAATCAATGGTATATTTTCTAAATAAACGGAAAACAAAAGCTACAAATGTTAAAACAAAATCATTCCTATTTAGTGTCTAAGATATATCACAAACAAAATATCGTGAGTTACGTAGTTGTGCCGTCATCAAAGTCGCTATTGAGATCCGGTAGAGGGTGATGGAGCTATCCTCCCACATAGCCTCTGCACACACATTGCCACCAGACACCAAATGCCCTTCACATGCAAATAGCTCCTCAAGCACTCATATAAAGTGTTTCACTCAACATAAAAGGCTTATTTGAGTTGGGTCAATTAGGCTTATATTAATTATGCTAGGAAAGTTTTTTGGTCCAATGGACTAACTAAAGAGAAAATATCCATAGGTCTCAAATAGAACGAATTTTCATATCCTATTATGACCCGATTGATATTGAACATAGATACATTATTAAATTTACAATAATAACTAAGTTGTCCATAATATGCTCTAGTTCATATTAGAGTGAATTATTATGATTATGAAAGTCTAATTAGCCTATTAAATGTAATATTAAGATATACATTTGCAACACTCGAAAACTAATGGTATATTTAAAAAAGATAAATAACCCCTAAAAATATGTATTGGTAGTGGTTGCTACAATCTCTCTATTTTGGTATAAGCAACAAGATTTTAACCATTGAGAGTTATTTCATACAAATTTCTCTTCAATAATGAAAAAGAGGAAGTAAGTTTATCAATTCCCTCTCGGGGTGCATAGGTGGGTTGAAACCGAAACTGCTCGTTGTAAATGGCAGTCTAGTTTAGGCGCCCTACATAGTGATTGTTGAAGAAAATGTATATAGAAAAGTGTGAAAAACTCAAACATCCAGCACTGCAGTATATCCTTGTCAGGTAAATGCGACCCTATTTATTGGTAATACTAATTGATCGCGTTTTGCAAGAATTGGCTTGATGGAAGCAGAGATGAACGCTACCCGGCCTTTTGTAGTAGAGCTACAAGTTGTGATCGAGTCAAATAGGCGTAAATGAAGCCCATCTATTTGGCTCAGGACAAGATGAGCTAAGAATTATCTAGGCCGAAAGTCTTTTAGATGCATCTCAGTTCAGCATTGAAGTCCCTTTTTCCTTTTGGGAAATTGTAGAAAAAAAGCCTACATTTAAGAATTGTGTTAGCAAATAACCAATTTACTAATGTGTAAAAATTATAGCCTTTACGTTTTAGATTTTTTGTTTTTCAATTTTACTCTTTTACTTTTTCTTTTTTTTCTTTTTTTTTTTTTACTTTTTCCCTCTAGATTTCCTTTTCTCTCTTCTCTCTTTTTGTTATTCACGGGTCTGCTCTTTTTTCTCTCATCGTCGTTCATAAATCAAGGATTTATAATGTAAATTTAGGGTTTACCATCAGAACAAATATTGAGTTTCTTCGTAAATCTTGAATTTATAATGTAAATTTAGGATTTACCATCAGAACCTAATTTTTGTTCCTTCGTAAGTACTTGATTTACAAGGTAAATTTAAAACTTTATAAGCGTAACTAATAAATCTATACAGTTTATGCAAGATTAACCATCAAAGGACATATCATATTATTTGTTAATCCTAGATTTACAGTGTAAATCTATGATTTATCATTATAACACAATTTTTGTTCCTTCTTAAATCCTGGATTTACACGGTTTATTTAGGATGCATTAATTGCATACATGTGCCTTGAACATTGTACCATGTTTCAACGTACCCCTAAATTTTAAAAGGGTTTATTTCACTGCGTAAAGTATAAAAAGTGGTTAAAATACCCCTTGAACTAATTGTTTTAATAATTGCATCCTGAACTATTGATTTTGTATTAACTTGCCCATTCATTTTTTTAAAAAGAAAGGGGGCAAGTTGACACAAAAGTAATGACTCGGAGGGTAAGTTGACTTAAAATTAATAGTTTTGGGGTATTTATAAAAATATAAGTAGTGTCACGTCGTCAATTTATTAGTTTTAGAAATAGTGGGAGCATTTTGAACTTGGGTACATATTTCACGGGGTGAAATGAACCCTTTTCAAAGTTAAAGGGGTATTTATGAAATTAATCCATCTAGGATTTACCATCAAAACACATATTGTGTTTATCTATAAATCCTTAATTTACAAGGCAAATCCTAGTTTTACTGTTAGTGGATTATATTATCTTTACAAATATAACATAAACCAACATTTTTTATGTTCCGCTCGTAAATCTAAGAATTACTGTACGGTAAATTCAATATTTATCATCAGAACACAGATTGTGCTCTTAGTAAATCCTAACTTTGTGAAAATTTAAAGTTTGGCACACCTCCTAACAGTTGAAGATTTTAGAATGGATTGGTAAACTAACAGTCTAACAGAGCATGGTTCTTTACAGTGGAGAAGAAAACGTTAATACCCACAACCAATCACTAGACATTCTTATGCACATGGAGAGATTGATGGAAACCCACATCTACTTGGAACTGAATGGATTGTTTCTATTGCCCCAAATTTTTTTCATATTCTTTGAACAAGGAGAAATAAAGAGACCTCGTCCCCTAAACTTTTCGGCTTTACTTAATACATCACAAACTTTAAATTTTCACAAATTGCACACTGAGCTTTTAAATGAACAGCAGCTGAGGTCCATTAGGTGCCCGATATTATAACTAAATTGACGTTTCAAAATATGAGATTTGTGTGATTTGGTTCGAAAAATGGCAAGCATTGCCCTTCATCTGCGAATCTCTTATTTTAAACCGTTAATTTAACTTGCTTTTATGTATAGGGGGATGCTTTATTTAAGAGCTCACTGCCCATGTAGGATCGTAAATCTCATGCCCCAGCCTTCTAAGCAGTTTCCTTATAATTTATATGCTTTATTTAAGCCTGCAAATCTTTTTTTTTTTTGCTAATCGGCTACCTGCAAATTATAATATATATGCTATTATAGAATAAAAAAAGTAAAGATATAGAAAATTAAAAAACACGCAGATCATAAGATAGTAGAACTACGTACCATACTTATATTACAGAATAAACTAACAGCCCGAACAATTGATCGTTTATTTTGAGCCTCAAAAAACAAAAAAGAAACACTTCATCAATCGTAAACTACTTCTTCTTATACGATCCATGACTTGTTTATTCTTCTTCTTAATTTATTACTAATTTTTTTTAATTTTACAGAAACTAACACACGCTATGACTCACATACTTATAAAAACTTATCGATCACTTGCAAGGACGAAACGCAAACCACGTCTGAATTCCGGTCAAGAAAAGGGCTGTAACAGCGGCAATAAGAGCCAGAATCGTCCACGGGCTACTGAAATGGTCGCGATAGATTTGAGCTACCCAAGTCGCGCACCTTCTCTCGTAGTGCCGCTGTATCATGATTTTCACATCGACGTAGGCGTCACCGCGAACCAAGTTAGTTCCTATGGCGTTAAACAGCTGAGCCACTTCCGCGTCGCTACTGAGGCGGTTCCTGAGTATGTATGCTGACCTGAGATCTTTGACATCTTCCTCATTATCGATGAGTAAATCTAGGAAGCTCAGGTACGATGTCACTTGATAAACTGTCTGGCAATTATCGGGGCACATCTCGAAGGCGACGAGGTTCAACAACTTGCGTCCTGTTGAGTCGTCGACGATCAGGGGAGGAAGCTTTAGGTGGCCGGAAAAGTAGAGAGAAGTGAAGGTTATGTCTCGTAAGGAGCTTGTCTCGCTTGGCTTCAGCTTTATTCCAGCTGCTTTGAGGTCCTGGACGTTGCGAAATGACCGTGCATAATACCCGTGGCAATTTGACGGATGCATTTTGTACTCTTGCTCTAGAAAAAAAAATTTAACATTACTAAGAATTTCAACTGATTAAACTAAACAGCAAGTTCGTTATTCCTTAGTTGGTACAAATTGTACGAGTGGTCCCTAAACTGTTTAATAGGTGATACTTTACTCTCTATTCTTTTAATTTTGACAAAACCATTTCTAAATTCTTAAAACGTTAACAATTAAGTGCTTTCCGTCAACTTTCGGATGGAGTTATTCACATGGCTTTTATGTATAACTCTTTTGTGGTGAAAATACAAAAATAGCCCGAGATCAAGACAACAACAAAAAAAAAAAAAAGAAAAAAGTAGAGCGTGCTTTAATCTGCCCACCACCTTGGTGGGATGCAGAAACAATATGTACGATAAAAGAAAAAAATAGGAGTTATTTAAGTATATTTGAATCTTAGCAATAGTATGGTCGAGAGTCTCGGTGATTTCAAACTATAAGCAAATTATTGTTTTTTTATCACAACAACATCTCGTTTCATATCACATGCCTTGCAAGTGATACATACCGTTAAAAATTCAACAGAATTTGACGGAAAAGGGTCGATTGCAAATATTTTAAAAGTCTAGGAATCGTTTCGTCAAAATTCAAAGAATAGAGACTAAAATTTCACCTACTAAAGAATTTAAGGGCTGTCGGTGCAAATTACTCTTCCTTAATTAATTGGTATATCTATTTCCTTAATTTTCTATTTCATTCAATATTTTAAATTAAAAATGGCTGTTTCAAAAATCTGACTTGTTATGTACAATTCAAATATGGGAAATTGTAATAAATAGCATATTTTAAAAATTAAATTAAGCAAATAAAATATTTTAAAATTATTTGAAATAAATAATAATTTATTTAGTAATTAAGCATTTACACTGCAAATGATTCATTTATGATTGGTAAAAAGTAACTTAAAAAAAAAATTTTATTTAAGTGAAAATTTTTTTTTTACTAGTCATAAAAAGAAAATCTACTTAACAAAATTTATTTTTGCTATTCATAAATGAACCATTTATGCGGTAAATGATTCATTTACTCCGTAAATTGCTATTTATTTTAAATAATTTTAAAATCTGTTATTTACTTAATTTAATTTTATGGTATTAAAAAAATAGTTATGAAAAAGAAATTTCACCTTGATGAAGAGTTAAGGGTGGTACGAAGCAAGCAATATGTTCATCACGAACCGGCTTTAGAAGTTCCTTTCTAAGAAGGTCGAGAAGATGAAGCGGTTGTTCGACTTCCATGTCTGTGTACAAGCTCCAGCTCCAATCTTTCTTCTCAGGTGCCAAAACGTTCATTCGGATAAACATTTCAAGTGACTGTTTTAACTCATGTTTGTTGTGGCTCGCATTCATCAACAACTTGAGAACCAAGAAAGGGATTTGGTTCTCAAGCAAGAATAAGTCTTGTTGGATCAAAGTGACCTGTCCGTTATTCATCTCAAAACCCATGACCTCATTAAACGCACAGCTGTGTATGAACTGCAGAATTGAACAACCATCCAAGAACAACATCATGGCCAACATATCATCGCCATAGGGACTGATCACCGCCTCGTCGAAGCACTTCTTCAGATCTCCGATCACAGCCTTGATTTCTCCGAACAAATCTCCCCCGCTTTTGCCGCTGTCTTTGATAAATTTCGCTGCGAGTTTCTCCTTCAAATCCTGGTCCTTTAGCATGAGGTCTTTGCTACCGTTGTGAATAGGACCAATGGAGATTGCTCTCGGCTTGTAGTACTTTAAGCAACTTTCTTGCCTCAACAAGATGTCTGGCACTTTTTGTATCTTCGTTGGGCCTTTGTTGTTGTCCTGGCCGCAGTTTTTTCCTTCGGCGATGGTCTTCAGGCGACTTAGCAACAACATGTGTTCGCCAGTGATCGGCCCTGGAGAGCTCTCACTGGAGGCAAACGTGCTTTTGATATCTTCGTTTGTTGAGCTTCCTTGGCTATCCAGTTTGACGATCGGTACATCGATTCTTATGCTTCCCTGACTCTCTAAATTGTCAGAAATTTGTTCCTCATGAACTGCTTTACTCGGTTTAGTCGCGATCTCTAAGTTTCCCGCAGCTTGGTTCTCATGCAGGTCTTCTATCGGAATCATGTATTCCTCTGCCGGCATCTTATCCAATGTCTTGTTTTGTGGAAAAAAATGACAAAATTCCTGCTCAAACCAAGTCGACGGTTTTTAAATGTATAGGAAAACAAACTTTTATGTCTCTTTCGAGGTTTCAGAAATTATGCTCACAAAAACCAGGTCAATTAACCAATCATGCTCACAATGTTTTTTATAAATTTCTACAAGACAATATCATAACTAATGCTTACCAAGTTCCAATAGGCAAGTACACAAGTGACCACATACATAAAAATAGAAAACAGAAAGAAAAAAAAAAAAAAAAAAAAAAAAACCATTAGTACTATTCATAACATTTTATTTTGTCTTCTTTCTCAATTAGAAAAAACAATTACCTGGGAAATCAGATTGAATATTTTGTTCAACAGTCAGTACTCTATTTGAAGCAGATAATTGGTTGCCTATGGATGAGAGAAAAGTGGAGAGAGAGATGGTGATGGTGGTGGTGGTGGTTAGTACTGGCGGCGAAAGGATCAAAGATCATGGTCTACGCTTTCAAGCTTCTTTTACGCTATTTATTGTAATATTAACGTTCACTTTTGGTAAGGACTTCGAAATTATTGATAAGAAAAGATCAAAACTAGTAATAGTATGTTGTCGATTGTGGGGGCTATCCCTTCCATATAATTGCCTTGCATGGATAACTTCTATAGGTAGATAATAGACGAATTATTTCTGATGAAAGATTAGAAAAAAGTTGAAGGAATATAAAAGAAAAAAGGCAACTTGTGAAATACACAGTACATAGAAGGAACAAAGGCATAATCTTTTTCACATTCCGACACAAAAGAAAAATCCAAAAGGCGTCAATTCCGGTTCCCTATCGGTTGGAGCAAAGTAAGAATAGGTATTTTGCTTTTGATTAGTGAAAGACACGAAATTTTCATTCCACATGAACTGTCATTATTTATATTTTAAAAGTAGCGCCACATTATTCTAGGGATCCAATAAACTTTTAACTTTTTTTTTAACACAAACTTAGATAACAAACACTACTATAAACATAGTATATAATGACGATTTTAAAAGATACGATGATCAATAGATGACTGTCATCTTATCCACAGTCGGCGGTTTAAACCGTCATTAAATTAACCCTTTATTTAACCGTCATCTAATGTAGAGTTTTATTGACGGTTTCTATGGGAAACTGCCTTTTAATGTCGTGCAGTATAAAAAAAATGCATGCTTTTCCAGCGTTTCCTACGTAGCTTTGTATCTCATCCTTTGCTTTTTCAATGGGATTGTTTTTTCAGTCAAATTGAGAATTGAAAATTTTCTCCTTTTTACCTCATTTTGGCAATGTGTTTCATATCTTTGCGTTTCTTCTGCCATCGTTATCCAGATCAAATGACTCACTTTTCCGGAGTTCATATCCAACTTCGAGCTTGAAAAGTGGGTTCATCCTCAAATAAATCATGTGCTGACATATTTGAAGTATTTTTTTGATAATTTATCGCCTCTAGATAGATTTTAGGGTTTCTAAACCGTCTTTTATTATTGTTTTTTTTCTACAGTACCATTACAGAAGCCCGGATCTGCCTTTAGAGAAGTTTTGAAAAATTCACCCGGTAAGTTTTCAGCTTCATTTTCATCCTTTTTGCCTTTTTAGTCAAATATTTTGGGGTCTAATAATCATGATATCACTGAGAACCATTGTTTACTAAACTTTTTCGCTAAACTAAATAATATACCATTTTTGAGCACATAGCTTTAAACATGCATGACTTAAACACCTAGAGGTTTTTATTTTTGACTAATTCAAGAGACTAAAACATAAATCACATAACCACAAAATCATGCCATAACCAAACTTTTTCATACTAAAGTTTATTTTTCATGCCATAGTCCATCAAAGTTGGCATTTTTCTAGGAATATGTTTAGAACTTTGATTTACATAGTTTCAGCGTACACTTAGATCTAATCATATTTCATGCTATTACCCATTTCTTACATCACAACATTAACTAGCATATTCTAATCATGCTTATTTCAACATATAACCATAGATCCTAACAAATTACTGTACAAGGTTTCATTTTTCTAACTAAAAAGCTATAAATTAACTTTCTAAAAGTTTAAAACTTTTATATACAGCTAGAGTGTGTGGGAGATTGTCATGTCCTGGTTCCTCTTGATCTGCTTGAAAACCTTGAACTTCACAAAGGAAAACATAAAAATTTAGAGCTTAAATAAAACTCAACATAAACTAACCAAAAATCACTTATAGACGAAAATATTTCGTACCAACAATTACTTTCTCTTACAACTAAATTCTCTATCTATTGCTCTTGGATGTGATTCTTGAAGCTTAATTAAACAAATTTTTGAGGGAGAGAGAGATCGAGAAAAGAAATTCGACAAAACAAGAGAAAAAAAAAAGGAGGGGAGATAAGTTTATCGAAATTTTGTGAAAAAGAAAAGAAAATTGCCAACATTTCACTTCTCACTTTGGGTATTTATAGACGAGTGTTCGGGGGACTAACTTGCAGAATTTTCGGGGCCAAATCCATGAAACATCGGCTGGTCTAGTGCAGGGGCTGATTTGCAAGTCTTTGGTGCAAAAATTAGGTAGGTTTTGGCTTAGGTGAGAGATCATGCATAGAAGCAAGCTGGTAGTAATTTCCAAATCAGCCTTTTTTTTTTTTTTGTGCAATTCTTACACCATTGATCATCAATCGAGTGATCCTAACACTTTGTTTTAAAGTGAGACTATTTCTTACTCTTATTGGTCTGATCCAAGACCTAGTTTCAATATGAAATTATGTAAGTTTACATCCTTAATATACTTGCACTAATTAAATTGACTACTTGAAAAGTACTCAACCTACTTCATAATTTGGACTTAGAATGATTTTAACTTAATGAGCCCATATTCAATCAAGAACATTTTTGAAATTGTTTTTGTCATTCTTAGGATAATTTAAATCCTTGGGATACCAATAATTGTCTACAGGTCACATTCAAAGTTAATGCGCATTTGCATTTTTAAATTGAACATGACTATCATACTGTATAAATTAATATGGATGGTAAGTTAATATGATCTCTTTTGGATTATTGAATGCATCTCATTTTTTGGTGTATTGTATTGTATTATTTTATAGCGGATCTATAATTCATTTACATGACGACCATAACTTTTGATCATCATCTCACGTTCATACTTAGTATTACTCATCCTCTACTACTTTCTAATTATAACCTCTTAAAAATGCAGGCTAATTTTTGCTTTTCAACCATTCATACATCTTAATGTTGTAGCATTTTACTATGCATTCCGTTAATACTATGGCATTTAGATACATTAATCATAATTGTGACTTGAGGTTGCTATGCATAGCCTCACTGTCTCGTAAACTCAACTTTCATTATATAACTCATATATATTCATAAAATATTATTTACTTTATACACATAAAGCTCAGCATTATTTCCAAAATACGTAATGGGTCCACTACCCACTTGCCCACACTCCACTGCTACATCCTCTATGCATGCTCAGCAACAAGTTTCAGGGAGCCGGTGTCTTACCCGAGCTTTCTACAACACGAACAAACTTAATGAGCTTTTGCTCAACAAGTAACAGTAGGTCATAATAGATGTAGTAATTATGCATACCCATATATGCATTCATGTCATATATCCTAAGACACTCATTACTACTAGGACAAGTGTGGCTTTTGTTCTTCTTTCATTACACACTTTGTTCAATTTCTGCCTCTCTTTAGTCGTTCACATTGTATTTTCACGTTCTGAACGACTTTCATATTTTATTTTTCATTCTTTTCATTCTTCTTTACAGATATCGTACTCTTATATGGAACGGTTTCTATTTTTCATTTTCTTCTCTTTTAGTTCTTCTGGGCCATATCATGTTGTACCACAGCGCGCATAACCAGTGAGGAGTGGGGTAGCTAACCAATCTATCTCAGTCACGGTTTCATTTCTTTCATAGTCTCATAATAACCTTTCCTTCGAAGGCTGGTACAAAAAAGATGTTTGATCTCTTACCGTTTATCAATTTTTCTCATTGAAACGGTAACTTTAGTTAAATCTTATGACTTTGTACATTTTTTAGCAATTTATCATGAGATTGACTTTTCGTTAATGATTACTTTTCTTCTTAACTTGACGTCGATACATATTTTTCCCATAATAAGATTCCACTGCTACTGAAGTCTTGTAGATACATGCATAACGTTGTATCTAACATTCAGAAGTCATCTTTCACATTCTAGCATATATTTAGTCTAAAATATGCTCGGATTGAGCAACATAGAGAAATAAATTTATTCGCATTGTAGACAAGAAAAACTATTGATACTTACAGGAGTTTTGCTAATGTCGCGTCCTTTGTCTCGCTTCATGATTTCTGACTTCGATCGTTAATCGATCCTATTGCATAAATTTCTGATTGTTAGATTCAAAATCTAAGATCAATAATTACATTAAAATTTAATTCAGAAAGGTTTACAATCCTTATGTTTGGTATTCAATCCCAAAATATTTCATATCTCAAGAATTTGCACTAAAACCGTGCACCTTCCTCTGTCATGGGCCTAATTTCCAGTTTTGGTCAAAATCTCTTAATTCTAATTGTGTTCGGTTTCTATACATCATCGATTATCAAATCGACTTACTTTTCACATCATAATCCCTTATTCCTCATGAAAACCTTAGATATGTCGTCGCAAATAATATTTTCTTTTTTCCGTACTTTCCTAATAATATTAAATAATAAAGATATAAATTTGAAGAAAATTTAAAAATAAAATAGAACAATATAATTGATATAAAATAGTCAACACAATAATAAAATAAGTCTTAAAAAGTAAATTAACCAAGAAATACTAAAAAGTATTGATAAAAAGAAAAATAAAAACATATATTTGAATCTCCTAAATTAGCAGCAACGTCGTCCTCATCCTCGTCTTCTTCGTTTCGTCAAACAAGACAAAAAGCTTCCCATCTTTTTGTACTTTCTCCACTATATCTCGACCTATAGCTACTCCTCGACCAGACTGACGTCGAGATGTCGGCTCCGGAACTGTAAGAAAATAAAAATAACAAAATTTGATAATAGAGAGTTCAACAAGTAACAAGTTTTGAGAGTATGTGTTATAGCGTATAATACCTAACTGACAATGTACTGGGAGTCTCGTCGGATCAGGTGGAGGATGTGATCCTCCTGCAAAGCCGGCGCATGTAGTTATTGGGCCAGACATCGAGTCGTTGCGTTGTAAGAAAAAAATTTATTTGTTACTTTATTTGGTATGCAATTTCCTAAAAATTTTATAAAAAATTTCATAAATTCAAGGTAACTACTTTGGTTCTATTTGTCGTCACTACGAATGTCTTCAACATCATCGGCACTTTCTACGTTGTCATCATCTTCAGAATCAACGGGCTAGAATGAAAAGTTCATTCTCATACCACGAGTCCTTAACGAAGATACTTATTCTATTCTTGTATTGTTGAATTCTTCTTCTTTCCACCCGAGTGTCAAACCACTTACAATTGAAAAGGAAAACTAAATTGTTGTTAATGTATAGTAATTCATAAATCTCTTCCAAAACTCCGTAAAAAACCTGATTATTTACCTCGCGGACACAAATGCCACTATTCTGAGTGGTCCGGT